AACGGCATCTGCTGTGATGCTTGCACCTCTGAGTCTCACAAGTGTCAGCTTTGTTTTAGATTTAAAAATATGGATATGTACTGATAAATGATCAGAATTAGAATATTTCTGACTGTCTGAGTCAAAATTAATCCAATTAAATTGGGACCTTGTCATTCAGAACCGAATCAGTTATAGAAATCAAATCGATACCCAGCGCTAGTCCACTGCTGTGAGTGGAACCACAAAAGAGAAGATGAACATATCCACCAAGGTTTTTACAATTACTATATTCATAATGTATTCAAATAGATTTATAATGCCAGAGCCACGTCCTGAATGTTAAATTTTATGGTTCTTGTTCTGCTTTTATTCAGACATTATCACAACATTGCAACACATCATTTTCATATTGTCTTTTTTTGTATTCACATTAGCTTTGATATGTTTTATTTGTGTTTATTCTATGCACTGATTTTTACACACATCCAACTAAACCTGTCACTGACAATACATTTTCTGAACTGAACTTCAATTTCCATTTCCTGGCACTACAATCTGGACAAATGTTTTGCTTTCTTTATTATTTCCCAGCTATAGTTACTATTTCACAAATCAAGTTTTTGATCGATCTACAATACATAGTAGACCCTTTACTAAGCTATGAGTTTCAGTGCGGTACTGTTACAGTATATATTTTTACTTCCCCCACAGAAAATAACATACCGGAACAGTGTGTCTAACACTGCATCATGAAAGAGACTACAGTTATGATGATGGTCCTGTCAGGTCAGTTTGAATTATTTATTTCCACTTCATTTATTTTCATTGTTTTAATTGAACAAAGAAAACAAAATGTGCGCATTTGTCTATGATTTGTTGACCACAAATTATAAATTGAGTTTGTTTTCAAATGCCTCGAAGCGCACATTTGTGGTCAGTGATTTGACTGCACTCTGACATGTCACCCATTTTAGCTGTTTTTGCTACTAAAGGCACCAAAGTAAAAAAATAAATTATGTATACATATATATATGTGTGTGTGTGTGTGTGTGTGTGTGTGTGTGTGTGTGCGCGCGCATATCATTTCCACAGGACTGTTTTACTTACCTGGCTGTTTTCCTCATCTTTACAACCTTGTTGAATATGGAAAAAACTGGGCCGGAGCTCAGGAATACTGCAGGAACAAGTATACTGACCTAGCCACTGTACATAATGAGCAAGACTTGGCCAAACTGAGGAACCTCACAAAAGGGCTTCATAATGTGTGGATTGGACTTATACCTGACACTGAAGCATGGAAGTGGTCTCTGGAAAACCAGAATTACTATGGTAAAGGGGAGACTGAGTTCAGGATGTGGAATGACGGGGAACCCAATGATTTAGGACACCATAAAGTTTGTGCAGCAATGCTTGAAAATGGGAAATGGGCAGATGTAGAATGCAACAACCAACTGCCATTCTTCTGCTACAATAAAAGTAATTAAATACAATATGCATACTGTATATCAGTGTCCTGATTATTATCATGACTATCATTGTAATCTCAAATGGAGGTGATGAATAAGTAACACAGATGTATAGCTCATTTGCATTCTTTGGCTGAGCAGTGAAGTTAGACCCTTACTTATGTTTCTTTGCTCAAATGTGTTCAGACACATCACGCTTCATATTTGTGAATATGAATAAGACCTGGGAGGATGCTCAGAGCTACTGCAGAAAGAACCACACTGACCTTGCTAGTGTGAGAAACCAATCTGAGAATGAAGAGCTGAAAAAGACAACAATGAGTTCCTACACGTGGATTGGACTATACAGGAATTCCTGGAAGTGGTCGGATGGAACTGCACAGTTATTAAACAACTGGGCTCCTGATAAACCATCCAATATAGCCACAAATGCATGTGGGACTATAGTTAAAGGCAAGTGGGACAACTATGTTTGCAGTGCACACTGGTACTTTGTCTGCTATACTGGTGAGTTCTGATTTTACTGTATTTTTAATATATTCTGATATTTTCTTTAGTCTCAGAAGATCGTTACATCACAGCATTTTTTTCCCTCATTCTTTTTTCATAAACTCAGCACTCAGGGAGAGGAAGGTGCTGAAGATTAAGCTGAAGAAAACTGACCCCTCTGTGGAAATG